TCCCAGAAGTGGATTTTGTTTTTCTTCTTTGACCCCTCTTTTACAGAGCAAATAAAATTCTAACCAAAAAAAAAGTCTTAAAAATGAATTATTTATGGGATCCTCTGATCTATATTTTGTAGACTATATAGGACACATGGGAGAGGCATTTCTCCTGTATGGAATAACATGTGCAAAGGTGTTGAAGAGGGATGTGATATATGTTTGGGAAACTAACTGCTGCTGAATAGCAGTATGTTGTGATTAAAGCATATGCTCTGGAGGCAGAACTAACTTCTGCCATGCACTAGCTTTCTGACTTTGGGCAGGTTATTTAAGTTTCTATTACCTTAGTAACTGCCAACTACTACTGTTACACTGATTTTGGTCCCTGCTGTTATTATTTTATTTTTATTTTTAAATTTTTAAAATTTTTTTTGAGTTGGAGTCTCACTCTGTCGCCCAGATTGGAGTGCAGTGGCCGCTCCCGGCTACCGCAACCTCGACCTGCTGGGCTCCAGCGATCCTTCCGCCTTAGCCTTCCGAGTAGCCGGAATTACAGGCGCGCGCTACCACGCCCGGCTAATTTTTTGATTTTATTGTAGAGTTGAGGTCTCTACCTGCCCAGGCGGGTCTCGAACCCGCGGGCTCAGGCAATTCACTCACCTCAAACTCCCAAGGGCAAGGGATTACAGGCTGAGCCACTGAGCCCCGCTCCAGCTGTTTTTAAAAGATAAAGTAGGAGGGCGAGGTGCGGTGATGAGTACTTGTAATCCTAACTACTCTGGAGGTTGAGGCAGGTGGATCACTTGAGACCAGGAGCTTGAGATCAGCCTGGGCAACATAGTGAGACTCTCTCTCAGGAAAAAAAGAAAGAAAAAAGAAAGAGCTGGCCATTGGGAGCAATGGATTTTCTATCCTAGAACTGCAGCTCAATTTGTCCATAGCCAAGAAGGTCTGGGTGCTGGGAGACATTGCTGTGACTTACTCAAAGACTTGATTGGCTACATTTTGACATTATGCCAAGGTTGAAATTGAGCTGGTTCCTACAGTCCCTGCTGAGATGCTACAGCTATTCAGAACTTTAAAAAAAAAGTCACTAGTGCTCAAACTAGTAGTTTCCAACAGCTCATAGTTAAGGAAGCTACTTATGCTGAATGGTTTGGTGGTCACTCCGGTGTTGAAGTAGTTTTATGTCCAAGAGAGCACAGGCATCATTGGCTGTAATGTTTGAAGACACACACACACACACACACACACACACACACACACACACACACATTTATTTAAAGGGACAGGGTCTTACTTTGTAGTACAGGCTGGCCTCAAACTCTTGGGCTCAAGTGATCCTCTTGCCTCAGCCTCCCAAGTAGCTGGAACTATAGGTACAAGCCACCATGCCCAGCTGAAGACCATTCTTTAACATCTGACTACATTTGATTTATTGAATCATTGATTTATCTTGGACCATACATGATCAGATATCCGAATAAGATGTGTCAAAAAAAAAAAAAGTAGGCAGGGTATGGTGGCTCATACCTGTAATCTCATCATTTAGGGAGGCTGATGCAGGAGAATTGCTTGAGCCCATGAGTTTGAGGCTGCAGTGAGCTATGATTGTGCCACTGCACCCCAGCCTGGGTAATCCTATTTAAAAAAAAAAAAAAAGTAAGAAAAGAGTGGTGAAAAATGAAGCTGGCAAGGAAGTCAATGACCAGATCATAAAGATCTTGTATTTTATCTTGTGGATAAAAGGGTGTAGTTATAAAAATGACCAGTGGGACCAAAAGGTCAGGTGGTGGGTATGTGGGACAGGGAGACTAAAGCATGGGCTGTGGCAATAAAAGGAGAGAGAAGGATTTTACGTGATGGCGATGAAAGATGACTTGATGATCTATGGTGATGGGAGAGGAGTTTAGGTAATTGAGTAGATGGTGCTGCCATTAACCAAAATAGAGAATTTAGGAGGAAAAGAAGGTTTGGGTAGGTTGATGTAGGGATTTGTTTAGTTTGGGATTACATGTTATTGGTGTGGCTGTGTGACTTCAGGGAGGAGATGGTTAGTAAGAGTCAGATATGTAATAATAACAATATCTAAACTCTTTTAGTGCTTACTATGTGCTATATATTACTCTTAGTGATTTACATCTGTTAACTTATTTAACCCTTGTAGCAACCCTTTGAAGAGGCAGTTTTGAGGAAAGAGTGTTTTCTGAGAGGTCCAGTAAGAGGAGTGAAGATGTCCAGTGGCATTGATAACTAACAGATCTGTGATGGCCCTAGCAAGGGTGTTCTTTGGAAGCTAGGTGGAAGCAAACTGCAGTGGATTGACATAAGGTTTGAAAGTAGGACCAGATGAAAGAGAGACTGGAGTAAGGGAGATGAAGTTAGGAGTCTTGTTGCATTCTAAGCAAGAGAAAATAATTGTGTGAATCAGAGTGACAGCAGTGGGAAGGGAAGAATTAAAGGAATAAGGCAGACATTTTTAGGGAAGAATCAATATGACTTGGTGGACAGGGAAGAGAATCTAAGGTAATTCTTCTCGTGTTCTAAGTTCCTTGGAGAGTGATGGTGCTGGTATCAGAAATATGAAGTTAAATATATTGAATTTGACATAACAGTGGTACATCCAGCAGACAGTTTAATAGAAATTGGAAATAAAAAATGTAGTTGTTGAGATGTTTGCCAGGATTGGTCTTAAGAGTGTGCAACATTTTTCTCTAGTATTACTCATCTAATAGGTTATAGTATATGATATTTGCTTACTAGCTCAATTTCTCAGTACTAAAACCTGAGGAAAACTTTTATACTGTTGGTAATATCAAAACTGTGTATTATTACTGAGGAAATAATGCTATTAAAATAATTGCTACTTTTTTTTTTTGGAGTCTCATTCCATTGCCCAGACTGGAGTGCAGTAGAATGCTCACAGCTACCCCAGTGTTGACCTCCTAGGCTCAGGCAATCCTTCCACCTCAGCCTTTTAAGTAACTGGAACTACAGGTGTGCACTACCATGCCTGGCTAATTTTTTGATTTATTGTAAAGATGAGGTCTTGTTAAGTTGCCCAGGCTGTTCTTGAACCCATGGACTCTGGCAATCCCCTCACCTCTGCCTCCCAAAGTGCTCGAGGCACCATGCCCGGCCAAAATAATTGCTACTTTCAAATGGATGTCTGAGTGTTCATGGAAGGACCATGGTATTTACATATTTTTACTTAACATTTATAAAGCAATTATTATCTACCAGGCACTATTATAATTGTCTGGCAGATAATATATGTTAGCAATTTAAAGTTAATTATCATGGAGAAAATTTTTTTCATGTCATTTTACAAAAGACATATTGAGACTAGAAAGGTGAAATAAATTGGTCAGTCGCACTGCTCAAAAATAGTAGAGCTGGAAAGTCAAATCTGAGTAGCATGTGATGGTGTAGATGGAGAACTTACACTTCCACATTTCATCAGTTTCCCATACATTTACAAAATATCAATAGTGGAACAAATTAAGACTTTAAACAAAATGTGGTCCAAACTTGTAACAATGGCATGCCAGTCATTATGATGCTGGTATGTAATACTCTTAAGCCCTTACAAATTTAAAAAGTACAATCTTAAATGTAATTTTCAGTGATAATCTTGGTGATGCAAAATTTGGTTTTGGATTTTTTTCCAGTTGAATTTTAAGGAAAAAAATGCCATTTGTCTCTACTAACTAGAATTCAGTATTAGAAATACTGGCCCAGTGTGGTGGCCCAAGCCTGTAATCCCAGCACTTTGGGAGGCCGAGGTGAGTGGAGCGCCTGAGCCCATGGGTTCGAGACCAGCCCAGGCAACTTGGTGAGACCTTTTGTCTACAATAAATCAAAAAATTAGCCAGGCATAGTGGCTGGCACCTGTAGTTCTAGTTACTTGGAAGGCTGAAGCAGAAGGATCACCTAAGCCCAGCAGGTTGAAGCTGCGGTGGCTGTGAGCGTGCCACTGCACTCCAGCCTGGGTAACAGAGTAAGACTTCAACTCAGGAAAAAAAAAAAAAAAAAAGAAATACTGTGCAACACAAAACATGCTACAAGATGGCCTAATAGCTAGAAAATTAAAACATTATTTGTTGACAGCCAACACCAGATAATATACAATGCACAGGTGATATGCAATGTAATGTCATCAGGCAACCATCTTTTAAGAAAGGAAGAAAACCCATTCACGAGATTCGTTATCTTCTGATGATTCCATACTTCTTATTATAAATGGATACAATTAGTGATGGTTTTTAAACACTTGACTATAATTTTGAGCTTACTAACGTTGGGGCAAAGCTATAATTACTTATTTCTTAAATTGAGAATTAAAGAAGCATACTCTTGACTTATGTTAATGGTAATGAACTGTGTAAAACATGCGGGGCAAAAGTATAGGGATTTCAGTTTATTATCAGTACTAGTTATACCGTAACTTATAAACCTTAATTCAGCCTACTCACGCAGGATGCCAAATAGATGAAGAATATCTAATTAAGTGCCATCAAAAAGTTCTGGTTCGTTAAATACAAGTTTAAAGAATAAAACTGAGTTACCGAGAAACCAAACAAGAGGTTGGGGAGAGGATGTGCGAAGGTTCCCTTCAGAGATGGGAGGAGAGCGTGCTAAAGAGGACATTTTCTGGACTGGAGATTTCGGACCGTCTGGTTCAGGCTGCATGCTTTTAGCAAGGCTAAGGCCTAGTCTGTGACATAAATGTGTAAAAAGCTAAGAAAACTACACGTTAGGCATGGTGTCTTTTCTTCCTGCTGCTTGAAGGTCTTTACATTTATGTTTCCATCACTGGTGGCAATTACTGCTTGTTGGGACTTTGCTTTTGTTTACTTGGTAACTGTGATGCACCAAGAGAGGCAGAAAAAGAAGACACAAACACCTCCGTTACTTGTGAAGTTAGGAAGTGGAAAGCGGCCCTTCCGACATCTCCGACGCTCCTACTTTTGCCCAAGGGACGGTCCTCAGCAGCTGCGAGACGTCACGGAGCACTAGCACCGCGTAGGAGCACTCCCGTCCGGGGGCGGGACCAGGGCAAACCCCGCCTCCCAAGCCCAATCCCAGCTCTCCGCCGGCGGACAGGAAGCGGCGGCGGGCCCAGCAGCCCAGGAGCCGGCCCCCGCGCGCATGCGCGCGCCCCTGAAGAGCCGGGGGGACGAAAAGGGGCGGAAGGCAGGGGCGCGGCTCCGCGTGCCCGTTGGGTGCCCGTGTGTCACGTGGTGAGGAAGGAGGCGGAGGTCCCGCGTTTGGGGGAGGGGGTAGAGAAGAGGGAAGGAGCGAGGGAAGGAAAGCGGGGAAGGGAGGAAGGAAACGGACGAGGGGAGGGAGGTCCCTGTTTTGGAGGCGCCTGAAGCGTTGCCGGTCCCTGAAGTGGAGCGTGAGGGAGGTGCTTCGCCGTTTCTCCTGCCGGGGGAGGTCCTGGCTTCCCGTGGAGGCTCCGGACCAAGCCCCTTCAGCTTCTCCCTCCGGATCGATGTGCTGCTGTTAACCCGTGAGGAGGCGGCGGCGGCGGAAGATGGTGTTGCTGAGAGTGTTAATTCTGCTCCTCTCCGCGGCGGGGCTGGGAGGTGAGGCA